TTTTTTGAACAAAACCAATTATAATTGATTCATAAAATTTGGAACTAAACCAAAACCATATATTTGACCAAAGGAATCAAACCAAACCAAATTGTGAAAAACCGTTTGGTTTGGTTCGGTTCCATGGTTCCCTTTTTTTTTTTTTTCTTTCCTTTATTGTTACAGAAATATTCATGTTATCCATGTGTACAACAATTAACCAATTAAGTTACCAACACATTCAGAACTATTAATATATTCAGAACTTTTAATTCTTTTAATTCATTATTTTCTTTCACTTATGGAACTGAAGTAAATAAATTTAGAATTGGTAATAACCTAATACATTTAGAATTAATAATTCAGCAATAAACATTTAGCCACAATTCAATTCAGCCACTAAAAAAAAAAATCTAATAAATTGATAAGACCTAAGATAATTAAGAGTGGACCATATGATTAATAGTTGCTACAAATTTCTAAGTGATTTGGATTGTAGGATTATATTATATTATATATACTCTATAATTTAACATATATATAAATATATATAACATAACAGTTTGGTTCGGTCTAGTTCGGTCCTAAAGGACCTTAAACCGTGACCAAACCGTATGTTTACTGTTTCACAAATTTAGAATCGTGACCGAACCAAACCATTAGCAAACCAAACCAAAATGTCCAGTCCGGTTTGGTCTGGTTTGGATTTTCGGTTTAACTGGATTTTTGTGCATCCTTAGTAGTAGGGGAAAAAAAAAAAAAAAAGCCTCCTTAGACTGGGGCTACACTATTTAAAAAAAAAAAAAAAAAAAAACTATATAAGACTTTTTACCACGGTTTTTAGTCATGGTAGAATTTGTGTTTTCTACCACTGTTTTTCATGTGGTAGAAAGTTTTTAAGAAAAAAAAATTTTAATCTATGAATTTTTTTTTATCTACCACGGTCCCAATACTGTGGTAGAAAAATCACTTTCTACCACAGTGTAGAACCGTGGTAGAAAATTATCAATTTACTATCACGACTGATACCACCACGGTTCAGAGGAATTGTGGTGTAAAGAGTTTTCCACTGTGGTAAAAAGCTATTTTTCTTGTAGTCCACGTGTGAACATTACACGTCACACGTCGACTGGTACGGACTCCCAGTTCCTTTAATTACTCAACTAAAATACCATTGTACATTAAAATAACCTAAATAAATCCCTAATAAATCCCTTCCTCTTGTACACTTAACAAAACCACGTTAATATAATTTTAATATATGCAGGATTTAATAAAATTAAATTTAATTATATTCCCAAAATATACAAAATATGTCCAAAAGAATATAATTACACATTTAGATCCTTACGCTCATAAATACAATACTTTACAAGAAAATTCATCAATTAAGTATTTGTTAGAAAATTATCAAAATATGCTTCCGTCAACCCTAATTAAACTTGTGAAGGTTCGCAATCAACAATGTCTTCGTCATATCCTGAAAAATGATTAAAGAAAGGGGTGAGCACAAATGCTCAGTAAAAGACGCCTAAGGCCCCAACTTTGGACTCCCGTGAGTCACATATCACACATTGGGGATTTAAGAGAACCATGATTATACATTGGGGAATTTACGGAATTTAAATTACATTTCAATCAAATCAATGGCATAAATACAACTTTACACACTATGAATGTTAATGCGATGCAATGCATAACCATTTCCAAACTTGGTTTCAAACCGACCCCAATCCCCTCCTACGTTAACCAACTTAACCAAGGTGAGATTGATACTATCCATGGTTCAAAATCCGACAACCATTTGGGGCCTAGTACTAATGTTACACGTCTTACACCGAACCGCGGTCCTTCTAGGTCAAGTTAGCACTGGGCTCGCGATACCCGGTCCATTTCTAAACTCCTCTTTCTGTCTTTTCTAAGATGGCTTACTTTTTAAATTTCATTCAACTTCCTTACTATTCTAAAGTGGTCCAATGCCATTCTCATTCAAATCCTGCACCATGCCATGCATATGATCATTTTTATCGATTTGGCTTCATTTCCAATTATATGACATCAATGGCATGAACATAGCATTTTATAAAATTCAAGTACAATCATTGCATTCTCATCAATATAGGCACAATCATGGCAATTTCTATGAAATGAATATAAGCATAACATTGTTTATGCATCAATTTCAAACATGCTCATCATGGATTTCATATCATCACAATCATGTTATTTTCACACATTGGTCATCATTACATGTAAGTGGCAATATAATCTTAATTAGCATGAAGTAACACATTTTTCATCACATATAGCATGCTTAGAACACCTTGTCATACAACCATCAACTTAACACATATTTGTCATTCAATAATGAGTTTTAAGAGAAATCATACAAGGTTACTCAAACAAAGGCAAAGTTTAGAGCATTAAACAACCTCTACCTCAATTGTGTACAACCAAACAAGCCCTAAGGCTAAGCTAAAATGTGACATCCTCTTAGCTCTTGCAACATTGGTCTCAAATGGAAGCCCTCTCTAAGCTCTACAACTTCTTTTTTTTGCTCTCAAAAATGAATTTGAAAGATGGAGCTACATAGATACATATAAGCTTATAGATATAGAGAGAGAAAGAGGAAGAAATTAGAAAGAGGGAGAGAGGAGGTGGCCGAATGGGGAAAGAAAGGAGGGGATGGTGATGTTTTGTAAATGCCTCCATGGCAATATTATGCCCAGTGTCTAGCCCTCAATGGTTATAACTCTAAGCCAGAAAATCATCCCGACTTCCGAAAAATTCTAAAATTAATCCCGTCGCCTCTAATTAACTTAAATAATAAAATGCACTTCTAAAACCCGACTCAATGAAATGACCTAAACAACCCTTAAGGCCCATGTGGCACGCAAAATGAAGCACAAAAAATAAATAAATAAAATTCAGAAAAATCCGGGACATTATAGTTCGTGAAAAGGTTTTTTTTTTTTTTTTTTTTTTTTAAAAAAAATTAGACATTTAGTTCATCACAATAAAGGATCAAGTTGCAGATATTTTCACCAAAGGTCTCTCCTCACAACGATTCCGGTTTCGACAAACCAAGCTTTTAGTTCGTGAACGACCTATCAGTTTGCCCTGGCGCGCCCCCGGGGGGGGGGGTGGTGATAATAGATTGGAGAATTCATTGCAAATCTCTAAGATTTCCTCCTCTGACCACACAACAGATTGAAACATCAAAGGCTAAATTATTGGGTGAATTAGCCTTGTATAACCTTCTATATATGTAAATCACATATTTAGTGCAGTGTAGTACGCTCTTGGTTTGTATTCCATATACATCGTACAACACTATAAATAGTGATCTGAATCAATATACCAGAGAGAATTTTCAATTACTTTTCTATTTTATAGCAGTATGGTACTTGTGCTAATATATGTAAGTTCACTTTCACACTCTCCAGTTGCGTTTATAGTATAAGGAATTGACATGGATCATGGTTAACGAGGGATTTAGAGTGACGGGATAAAATAATAATAATCATAATAAAGAAAGTAATAATAAAAAATGAGAGATTGTGAGCCAGAGTAGGGTAGAGTATCTATGTGAATACATATCTATGATTTGGATTGTGATTTCTTAAAAATGGTTATAGGTTTGATAGAATTGAAGTCGAAGGAAATACAAAACTAGGAATTAGAATTCCTTTTCCCCATTTTATCTTACTAAAATATTTGCTTATATTTGTAATTTTCTTTAGATTACAAACATTATAGAGTTATTATACCCATTTGTATTCCAAAAATTCTAAATATTGCATTTTCAAAAATAAATTAATTTGAAGAGAAATTAAGATGATTGGACTTATTAACATCTATTGCTTGTAGGCTATTCAAATAAAAAAAAAATAATAATAATAAAAAATAAAAATTTGGTTGATATTTTCTTCGCATACTATATCACTTTCAAGAGAGAATAATGCATTGTTAAAATAATAATAATAATAATAGAGGTTAGAGAAGGTGCACATAACACTAATGATAGGTAACGTGCATATAATATCCCTGGATTATAATATTATTAGTCATAGAATATTTTCAAAAGAATAAGAGGACAAAATAAGTATTACAGTATTATTTTATATTAGATTTATATAAAAATCAATTTGAGAAGTCTTTTCGTACCCTTTTTAAAATAGAAAGGTAAAGTGATACACAAATTATACAATTGAGGTGTTTTATGCCTAACCCCAATAAAATGATTTGATCAAGCCGACAGTATCATGATTTGATAAAGTTGAAAGTATCATGTAGGGACAAAATAAGTATTACAGTATGATTTTATGCTCCCAGTTTGCGTTTATTAGATCTTTAATGCTTGCCAAAATAGCTAAGGTATAAATCCCTTCTACTGTAATTTTAGGATATCTCAATAATTTGTTCCCAGAAATGCCCTCAAAAAATAACCTTTCCTCTACTCGGTCATTTCAAGTTAAGAAAATGTGAAAGCGTTTTTTTCCTTCTATAAGAAGGATGCATTTCGAAGTTTGACGTGGAGAGAAGGAACGTCATAATTGAAGTTTCGAAAAAACCTCACGGTGAAAGACTGAATTGGATAAGTTCTGTTGTATGCATTATGATGTATCAAAATGGTGTAAGATATGCTGGACAAGAGAGACATTTCACACAGCCAGCAAGTACAAAAATTAGATAGCAAAGGAGATTTTATTAAATACGAAAATTAAATAGCAAAAGGAGACTTCAATGAGGATTTTGTAATGGCTCCATAGGAGTTAGGAAATTACACACAAAAAATAAAAATAAAAACAAACCAGCCAAAAAACACTCAATTACATATGTGTAATAAAATGACTCCGGCCCTCAGAAATGGTAAAATGTGGCAAGTTTTATTTATTTATTTAATTTTTTGTAAAGATACTTTTGTCCAATATAAAGGGTAAAAACTTGACACCTTAACTTAGATCATTTTTGTTTGTTAGTGAAATTGATATTATTAAACACTAAGATAATTGTTATAATCTAAAATACAAAAAAGTAACTGTAATAAATCTAAACTAGAGAGAAGATAAGTACTGTATAATTTTATTCAAAAATCTAAGAACAAATCAAATCAACCCATCAAGTGAAAAGCCATCCCAGTTTAAACTGTTACCAAAACCTTCTTGTTGAGCAGATATCTTCTGCTCAAGGTCCAAAGAAGACGACTTCAAGGATTCTATTTTGTGTTCCAATTTTATCTTTTCCTCCTCGGATTGACGGATCTGACAAAGAACACTTTCATTTTCTCTCTTGTTGGAAGCTAAGTATTCAATTGCACGAACTCGGAACTCGAGCCAAGAGAGATTTAGACCGACCAACTTGCCATTATTTAAAAGCTGATTCACCTTGCTTATGTCAGCATCGTCAATATCACGCACGAGCTTCTCCTCCAGCAACTTAATAACGTCTGCTAACATGTCTAGATAAACAGATTGAAACTCAGGCCCCTGAACCTTGAAATCGGCAAAAGTTTCTAGATGACGTTGATAAATACGGTCCAAGGTATTGACTTTGTTGGAACTGCAAAAAAATTCATTCCAACGAACAAGCCTGTCAGTAGAAGTCTGACCGGATTCTGCTCGAGCCAGAGGAGCCTTGGGAAAACCTCCAAAACCTAGGCTCATGCTAAGATCAATGTTTTCAGCAGGAACGGGGCTCAACAGATCATCAGTAGAGCGATATAATCGTCTCATCGTCTCTTCAGAATTCACAACACTTCGAGACTCATCTGCCACGAAAAAATAATTCCAAAGAGCAAGCCTGTCAGTAGAAGTCTGACCGGATTCTGCTCGAGCCAGAGGAGCCTTGGGAAAACCTCCAAAACCTAGGCTCATGCTAAGACCAATGTTTTCAGCAGGAACGGGGCTCAACAGATCATCAGTAGAGAGATATAATCGTCTCATCGTCTCTTCAGAATTCACAACACTTTGAGACTCATCTGCGACGGAAAATTCTAGAATTCTCCGGGAAAGTGCTGAGAAACTGTGGGAACTCTGGGAAAATTCTATCCCGGTAAGAAGCGTATGTACGGGGCCCGTCACGGAAAATTCTGAAATTCTCCGGTTGCTTGTGTGCCGGTTGCTCTTAGAAACTTGTGTGCCGGTTGCTCTTGTACTTGTTGCACCATCCTACATGTCAGAATTATGTTAAAAGAGAGAGAATCTGAACAAGAAAAAATGAAATAAAAATTGGCCATTACTCACCTCAGAGCAGGCAGGAATACCAACTTGCTCTTTATTGCCTTCTATCGCATTGTTGCTAATCATTGAGGGATCTTCCACAAGGTCCACAAAATTGTTGCTCGTAGCTCTTGTACTAGTTGCGCCATCCTACATGTCAAAATTAAGTTCAAAGAGAGAGACAATCGGAACAAGAAAAAATAAAATAAGAATTGGGCATTAGTCACCTCTGCTTGCGCAGGAATACCAGCTTGCTCTATATTGCCTTCTGCAGCATTGTTGCTAGTCATTGGGGGATCTTCCACAAGGTCCACAAAATTGATGTCGGTAGCTCTTATACTTGTTTCACCATCCTACATGTTAAAATTATGCTAAAAGAGAGAGAAACTGAACAAGAAAAAATAAAATAAAAATTGGGCAATATTACTCACCTCTGTGCGCGCAGGAATACCAACTTGGTTTTTATTGCCTTTTGCCACATTGTTACTGGTCGTTACGGGATCTTCCACAATCTCCACAGAATTGCTGCTGCTGGTAGCTCTTGTACTTGTTGTGTCATCCTACATTTCAAAATTATGCTAAAAGAGAGAGAATCTTAACAAGAAAAAATAAAATAGAATCTGACAAAGAATATTTCCATTTTCTTTTGTTCTTTTTTTTTTTTTCTTTTTTTTTTTTTTTTTCTTTTTTTTTGTGAAAGTTAAAAGCAATTACGCACCCGACCTCCTCTTTGGGGAGGAAGGGGTAATACCACTGAGTCATTTGGTCCTTTTGTCCATTTTCTCTCTTGTCGGAAGCTAAGGGCCCGTTTGGGAAGTGTAGTGTGATGTTCTGAGATGAGAACAAAACATGTTTGATGTTCCAAATTTGCTCTCAGAATTTTGAAATTAAAACATGGTAAAACATGTTTGGTAATGTATATTGTTCTAAGAAATATGAGAACAAAACATGTTTAGAAGAGTAAAAGTGTAACCAAAATTACTAAAAAAAATCATGAAATATATATATTTTTTTTAAGTGACAAATTTCAAAACTATAAGTTATCAAAAAAAATTGTTGGGTTTCCTTTGTTAAAAAATTACCAATAAAAACCTGTAAATATTACTAATAAATTTCATTGCATCAAATTAGTACGAGTGTTGGAATTTTTTTATTAAAAAATTACCAATAAAAACCTAAAAATAGAAAATTTGCTTCTTCATAGTACCTTTTTACTAAAAATAGAAAAACAAATTTAATCATATATTATAAAATCTAATAATAAGTCACAATTATTTTCTTTCTCCATTTAAATTTAAATTTTTTAAATTTCAGATAGACAAATATAAAAAATGAGGATTCAAGCTACTTTGATATATATATATATATAGAAAAACAAATTTTATCATATATTATATTATCTAATAATAAGTCATATATTATATTTTCTAACAATTTTTTTAAAATTTCAAATAGACAAATATAAAAAATGAGGATTCAAGCTATTTTGCTATATATATATTATCTAATAATAAGTCATATATTATATTATCTAACAATTTTTTTAAAATTTTAGATAGACAAATATAAAAAATGAGGATTCAAGCTATTTTGCTCTATATATATATATATATATATATATATATAGCAGGTGAAGAAATTGCAAGAGATTTGAGAAATTGGATCAAATAAAAATTCAATTAAAAAAACGCAGATGTGAGGTTCGTCGGAATCGGCAGATGAGAGCGCACAAGAGCTCGCCGAAGTGACAAATCTACGCACCGAAGCTTTGGGTTCACCGGAAAACGCAGAGCTGAGATAGAGATCGTTTTCAACAACGCACAAATCATATTCGGTAATTTTTGGGTTGATATACCTGTTTACCTAGAGAGAACTGATATAGAAGGAGGAATAGAAATAGTCAAATAAGATCAGGGAGCCAAAATGGTCCTTTTCAATTAGCTGTAAAAAGCTAAGTCTGAGCTTATCTATGTATGAATCAATGGGGTTCTTGAGAGAGAGGGGGGCAAGTTCATAGATCTGCTGGATTTTGTAGGTTGCAGTTGCAGAGAGAGAGAGGGGGCAACTTCAGAATTGACAACGAGAATAGATATTGAGGTGGGTTTCGAACTTCAGATTCTTGTAGATTTTGTAGCTTGCAGTTGCAGAGAGAGAGAGGGCAAGTCAGAGTGTTTTTTCAGAAATTAGGGCAAGTTCACAGTTGAGAACGAGAATAGAGATGGAGGCAAGTTCACAATTAGGGCAATGTTCCACCGATTCTTAAATACGTGTTCTCAGAATTCCTGCACTTTGGACTGTTGTTCTCCTTTCTACAGTGAATAGTGGGCCGGCTGAAATTTGGGAACACTTTGGAATACGAATTTTTTGTTCCGGAAATTAGCCCAAAATCAAAAATTGTTCCTGCACTGTTGGACACAATACAGCCCATGCCAAACAAGTTGGTGTCCTCAATAGTGTCCATTTGCAATGTAGGGAAGGGCATGGAATAAGATATAGCATCCCTAAGTTTTCAATGGCACAAACTCGGAACTCGAGCCAAGAGAGATTTAGACCAACTAACTTGCCAGTATTTAAAAGCTGGTTCACCTTGCTTATGTCAGCATTGTTGAGCTTCTCCCCCTGCAACTTTAACATGTCTAGAACAGATTGAAACTCAGGCCCCTGACCCTCGAAATCAGCAAAAGTTTCTGGAAGACGTTGATAAATACGGTCCAAGGTATTGACTTTGTTGGAACTGCAAATAAATTGATTCCAACGAACAAGCCTGTCAGTAGAAGTCTGACCGGAATCTGCTGGAGCCAGAGGAGCCTTGGGAAAACCTCCACGACCTAGGCTCATGCTAGGATCAATGTTTTCAGCAGGAACGGGGCTCAACACATCATCAGTAGAGCGATTTAAACGTCTCATCATCTCTTCAGAATTCAAAATACTTTGAGACTCATCTGTCACAGAAGTTCTCCAGGGAAGTGTTGGTAAACTGCGGGAACTCTGGGAAAATTGTATCCCACCAAGAAGCTGGGAGGTTGTCGTGAAAATTTCTGAAATTCTCGGGCTAAGTGTTGGTAAACTGCGGGGACTCTGGGAAATTTCTGTGTCACCCAGAAATATAGGTGCATCAGTCCAACACATGAAATCGTCAATATGTTGAATATTAGATGGTTGATTGTGGGGCTCAATAACACCAAAACCTTCAGCACAAGTTTTAAAATTGCCAGGCTCTTTGGGATTGGCTCCAAGAGATTGGCCTTCTGTGGGTTGAGTTAAGATGGTATCTTCATGGGTTACGGCAACCAAATTTTGATCAGCCAAATCCACGACTGCTCGCTCGAGTGTACTTAATGGCGCGGGTGCACTCGTCCTCTCTGGTGCGCGCGTCTGCTCCGGCATAATAGCCTGCGCGGGCATACTCACCTCTGCACAATCACGAATTCTAGCTTGCTCAATATCTTCCTGGAAAAAAAAAATACTAGCTTGCTCTATATTGCCTTCTGCCGCATTGTTGCTAGTTGTAACTTGCTCTATATTGCCTTCTGCTACATTGTTGCTAGTCGTAATGGGATCTTCCACATTCTCCACAAAATTCCTGCTTGTAACTCTTATACTTGTTGTGCCATCCTATATATCAAATTTATTTTAAATGAAGGAGACAGAACAAGAAAAAATAAAATAAATATTGGGCATTGCTCACCTCCGCACGCACAGGAATACCAGCTTGCTCTTTATTGCCTTCTACCGCATTGTTGCTAGTCATTATGGGATCTTCCCCAATCTCCACAAAATTGCTGCTGGTAGCTCTTGCACTTGTTGCGATATCCTACATGTCAAAATTATGTAAAAAGAGAGACAATCTGAACAATAAAAAAACAAAATAAAATTTGGGCGTTACTCACTTTTGTGTATGCAGGAATACCAGCTTGCTCTTTATTGTCTTCTGCCACATCGTTGCTAGTTGTTACAGGTCCTTCCACAAAATTGCTGCTGGTAGCTCTTGTACTTGTGCCATTCTACGTGTCAAAAATTATGCTAAAAGAGAGAGAATCTGAACAAGAAAAAATAAAATAAAATTTGAGTATTACCTTTCTGGGCCTTTTGGGAGCAGGACAAGGTAAAACTCTTTTTGATTTTAAAATCTTATCCAATCAGCAGCTCGACTTGGCATAGAATTTTGTGTTCCTATACATGTGTTTGCCAAACATTTGGGAGCAAATTCCTTCGCAAACCGGCTCGCATTGCCGCGAGATGAGGTTGGCCGCTTCTTTGGAAGCTTGAGTGAAGAGTCACCTACAAAGATGTCTGGTGGCTCAATAGGATGCGGCAACTCCTTGGGAAAGGAGAGAAAGATATCAAGGTTCTTCTTCCAAAATTTGTGATAGCCTTCCGGACACTTACCTTGGCGATCATGTGAAGGGATAAAGAAGGTAAGTGAATAAGACCTATCCGACAACTCCCGGAGACAGTCATGAAAAGACTGCCGGTTGACTTGTAGATGTGGAACTCCTTGGTCGAACCCAAATTGACGCGGGACCCGCGCTGGCTTATAACTGGCCAAAGACATCCCTGCTTCAGTAAAGCTTGGAAGACAACAGCTGGCTGTCATAGCAGCAAACATCAGCTGGGAATGGTTCATAGGTTGAGCCGGACAAAGTTGCTCGTCATTATCAAAGTAAAACATGGGGAATTCAATGCCATTTATGTGAAGAGCATAAGGCCTAAAAACAAACTCTCTTTCATAGTCTATCAAATCCCCTAATTTCCGGCCAGTAATCCCAGACCACCTTAAGGCTTGCCCTTTGTTGGCAGGGGCACCATCTGCATCATTAGCCACAAATTCTTTTGGAGGACTGGCACTGTAGCTTGGAAACCTCTCAAATAAGAACATCATAAAAAATGGGCATGAAATGAAGGAGCTAATGTCATATCTTCCTAAAGAACGAGACAAGTCCCCTTTAATCATATCTAGACGATGATATAATGTCCCGAGGAACATGGGTGCTAGTGGAACAGCACACCCGCGGGCAAGTACGGCCGCGAGAGGAAACACCCTTGTACTGAGACCATCCTCAGGACGACCCTCAAAAATAAAACGGTCAAGCCAATAAGATAGGAAACCCGCTAGATGAAGAGGCGTGTCGAACTCTGGGCCATTTACACTACGATCGTCTTGTGAAGGTCGGTCTGGCACGTCTTTGAAGAAATGGCGGGCCCAACTCGCGTAAGTTAACTTCTTGTGACCAAGTACTGGTTGTGAAGGTAAAAGGGTTGAACCATCAAACCACGATCCCTTTTCGGAAGCAATTGTAGCACATTGTTTCAAGTCGTCCACCACGGTTTGATCTTCGGGAGCCAAATCAATCCAATTAACATCATTATCACTAAGGATGGGCAGTCGGTACAACACAGCAACGTCTTCTAAAGTGGGGGAAAATTCACCCCAAGATGCAACAAAGGTGTGGGAGTCCGTACTCCAGCGAGAAATCAGTGTAAGCAAGCTTAAATTGTCGCGCCTAATACTTATGTCTGAAAACAAACGGATGGCGTCCAAAATGTTTGAACGTTCCAAAATATTTGTGTAAGCCTCCGTACTTAGGACATGCCGTGCCCACAACTTCCAATTAGTGGGACAACCCGTGTGACCATCAAACTCAATGAAAGAATAAGGAAAATCTCCACGTTCCACCAAGAGCCGTGGAATGGAAGAAGGAGAAATTAGAGCTCCATCAATGGGACCTTCATCTTCCAAAAATTTGGGATCGTCGGGAACAATAACATCCTCTTGTTCAACTCCCACAAGGTTCCAAAAGTGGTCTTGATCTGTCTCTAGGAAAGGAGCTTTGCGCCATTGGTTGGGTGGCGGGACACTAGGGGTGGTGCCGTCTTGAAAACATAAAATCTTACCCGCCATGGACAGAGAAAAAGAAAATGAAGTGGGTCGTCTATCAGCAAATGGTTAAGACAGGTGAGCAAAATGGGTCTACTCCCCGAGTGGTGGAGGGAAATATTGGAGAAATGATTTTTTTTTTTGGGTAAAATGGTAAGTAGAATTAACAGCTCTCAAAGAGAGAAAAAAACGTCCTTAGGCCAACCAAAGGCACAAACAGGCCCTGGAACAAAATAAACACAAAAATCAACCAAACAAAAGGAAATACTAACTGCCCAGAATAAATAGAAACATGAGCATACAAGAATAAAAGTAGGATTGGGAGTATACCACAACTGCATAGAGGAATGGAGCTCTCAACCACCGAGGTCTGGACATTGAGGGGGTCTGAGGAATTTTTCTTTTTTTTGGGTAAAGTGTTAAGTAGAGTTAACAGAAAGGGTTCTCAAAGAGAGAAAAAGAGGTCCTTAGACCAACCAAAGGCAAAAACACGCCCTGCAACAAAATAAACAAAAAAATCAACTAACCAAAAGGAAATACTCGGGGTGACAATTTAGGCTAACCCATTAAATCGTCCATATTTATCTATTAAAATTAAATTATTTGAGTACTGAAATTTAAATGAGTGAATCAATAATAAGGTAAAAAGTGAGAACTTATTAAATTCAATGACAGTGAGTACACAACTTAAACTTAACCGTTCAAACAAAATTTATTTATTTATTTTTTTTTCTCTCCTCTCTTTTTGTCTCTCCTTTTTTTATTTTTTATTTTTTGTCATAAAAAAGGAAAAAAAAAATTGTAACTTTTGAAATAAAAAATTTAATGTAAAAACTATATATATATATATATATATATATTTGTTATTAAACAATCATAACAGTTATTATATTACTGAAAGGGTAGATGTTCTAATATAATTAATATTAACATTTCCTGTTTTTAACTCACTCTTCTTCCCTTTTTTTTTTCTTTCTCTCTCTTCTTCCTTTTTTTTTTTTTTCATATATATATTTTTTCCTCTTGTCTCTCATATTCTCCCTTTCCCCTGTTTCTCTCTCCTCCGTTTCAACTCGTCTGTTTCTTTTTTTGTGCCTTAATAATTCTCAAATAAGTTGTATAGTAACTTTTTTTAGAAAAAACAAAAATAATAATAATAAAAAAAAAAATTGTAAAAAGTGAGACCGTAAAACTAATAAATTTAATATAAAAATATTTTTTTTAGTATTCAACAATTAAAATAATTTAACAATTTATATTTAAAAATACTTAAATAATTGGGTCAAGTATTTATTAACTAAACCCATTTATCACTCAAATCTTTTAATTACTCATCGTAAATAAATCGATAATGAATTATTAACCTATCATTACTTGCCTACTCCTGATCAGTCCAAAAACCACTCAAACCCATGCAACTGCCCCTTAAAAAAATACTAAATGCCCGAAATAGACAGAAACATGAACATACAAGAATACAAGTAGGAATGGGAGTATACCACAACTGCATAGATCAATGGAGTTCTCAACACCGAGGTCTGGACGACGAGGGGGCCGTCTCAGACAATCCGCCGGAAGATTCCTATGCAATAATAGCACTGTGAACCGAGGGAGGGAGAGTCCTTCAGATTAAAGCTTGAAATTCTGGATCTGATGACGGATTGATCGGAGCTTAGCCAAGACTTAGATTTTCCTTCAAGATTAAAGCTTGAAATTCATTATGGATTGATTGGATCTTAGCCAAGACTTCGATTTTGAGATGAAGCCTGATACCGTTGACGGACTAGGAAAGTAGAAGAAATGGAGTTCCCCCCCCCCCCCCCCCCCCCCCCTTCATATATATAAAGGAAGATTATTTAGCCCGCGGGACTCATGTTTTATTATGCGCGGCACTTGTTTTTCCGCGGGACTCGTATGAAATCTCCCCCACCCCCCCTTCATATATATAAAGGAAGATTATTTAGCCCGCGGGACTCATGTTTTATTATGCGCGGCACTTGTTTTTCCTCGGGACTCGTATGATATGATCGTGTGTTGACTTTAATCAAGCTGAAAAATAAGGGTATGCATAGGAATGCAAGGAATTTTGTTGGCCCGAGTCAAGATTGTAAAGTAGGGGATTAAAAATAATTAAATCTATAATTGCTTAATTTGGCATTCATATTCTAAGTATAAAATTTTTATGCATCAATCATTCAATTAAACTCAATAATGTACAACTTTCTAACAAATTTAAACAAACTCTAACGTATTTTCACAATAAAAAATACACTGAAATATGTTTCATACAAGTATTAAAACAAACACCTGCAAGATATATAGTTTCCTTATCAACAAATTTATATTAAAAAATAAGAATTATGTACTTCGTCCCTTTCTAGTCATTAATCCATTATATAGTAAATTACTCAATTTAATAAGAAATCATCAAGTTATTAACAAAGCCTTTTTTTTTTTTATAAAAATAAAAATTAATATTTCACTAGATTACCAATAATAATTCATGATATCCATTCACCTATGTCTTAGTGCCTTACACATAAAGAGTCTAAGTCTTCTTTCATAAACTAACAATGTATTTGATTTGCGAGTAATTTAAGCCACTTATGTGATCTTAAGTTAACTAGTTTGCTGTTGTTTCAATCTTAAAATGCTTTTATGAAAATAATGAATGTGATTCCCATTTAGTTTAACTTGAAGTAAATAAATGAAAATGGATGGTGGAAGTTATTCAGTCATTGACACAACATGTTTTATTATTATTATTATTATTTTGTTTTTTTTTAGGTTTAGCCTTTGTAAATTTTATAACTCCTTTTATTTATAGATATATTATTGATTGGGCTAGGCTAGCTGGACAGGGCTAAACTGATAAGAAGATGAAGAGTATTACATGGGCTTGTAGGAGCAATAATACTTTTTTTTTTTTACCTTTCCAATTGGACCTGGGCTATAGCCTAGGTTAGCCCATTATTAATTCCACCCCTGAAATTCGGAAAAATTAATTTTGTGTGCTTTACTTGGCGGCCCTGCTTGGATATGAACTCTCAAAATAGTTTTCGGTTCTAAGAGTGATGTAGGACACTTTTAAGTGTAGAAATTATTTTTCTCTTGCTATTAGTTTTGTTTATATTTTTAAGAGTGATGTAGGACACTTTTAAGTGTAGAAATTATTTTCCTCTTGCTATTAGTTTTGTTTATATTTTTAGTTTCCTTCTAGTGTTAGGTGATTTTATTTTATTTTATTTTATTTCTAATTGGGACTCATACAGACTGCCTCTACTGAGGTTCGAACCCCTGACCTCCTTTTAGCAAGTAGAAGCCTTGTACCACTAGGCCACAGGCATGTTGGTTCTAGTGTTAGGTCTTCTCTATTATAAATAATCATGTATTGCAAGAGCAAAAATAACCTTTTTTATCAATAATATTTTAGAATTTTTCTGAATTTATTTCTTATTTTGTAAATTTAAAATACCCATAGATTTAAGATATCAACTCATGTAAGCAGAAGCAACAAATTTATTTACGAGAAATAGGTTACCTTGAAATAAACAAGGTAAGTGTTTTGAATCAATTGAATAAGAGATAAATTCATAATAAATTTTGAAATATTATTGATAAAAAAAGTTATTTTCCTTTATATTTGGAATATTATTTAGCCCGCGGGACTTCTGTTTTATTATGCGCGGCACTAGTCTTTCCGCGGGACTCGAATGATAATACGCACTTGTCTTTCCGCGGGACTCGAATGATAATATATATATATATATATATGACCCCTTATTTTTCAGCTTCAATAAAGTTAACACACAATTAAGGGGTTCATTGTATGGTACACAATCACAATGTGAATGCAGCTTTGTTGGCATTAGAAATTGAAGGCACCGAAAGTATAACGAACCCCACTAATGCATAGTAATTTTCATGTCAGAAAGCTATTGACTATGCATCGGAATGCAAGGAATTTTGTGGTGGACGCGCTGAAAAACTAATTTGGCGTCCTTTCCTTGGTGGTTCTGCTTGGATTACAACTCAAAAAAACAGTTGTGAGACATTTTGTGGTGTTTAATAATTTTTATATTTTAAATTTTTTTTAGTTAGTTTATAGGAATTATTTTGTTCTAAACTATAAATTCTTACAGGATTATGAAATATTGTTGATAAAAAAAGTTGTCTTTGCTTTTGCAATACATGAATTTTTATAATATAAATAACTTAACACTAGAAGGAAACTAAAAACATAAAGAAACCTAATAGAAAATAATTCCTAGAAACTAACTAAAATTAAATTTCTATAAAAATTTATAAAAAGAAAATAAATAAGAAACCTAAAATATAAAAATTACTACTAAACACTTCAAAATGTCTTACATCATAGAGTTACAAAACTCCAAAAAAATGGTTATAACTTCTGGTTGAATATGTTTTTGAAAAACAGTTTTTAGAAAACTAGAGTTACAAAAGTGCAGTTTTCAGAAAACTACTAAAAAGTGTTCTCAATGTTTCTCAAAAATGTTCTCGTTTGTGTGAAAACATGGGGAAAAAAAAAAGTCAGGTTAAAAAAATAAAAAAGAATTGAGGGTTTTTTTTTTCTTTTTTTTTTTTTTTAAAGGGCAAAACAAATCCTATTTAGTAAAATATTTATAACATTTTCTTAATGTAATCCTCTAGCTAATAATGGTCTATTGGAAAATAGTCAATATTTATTATTTTTGATAAGTAATTAATTTGGCAACTGAAATAATGAAAATAATTTTGTAAAAAGAATGTTGCCTATAGTGTAAATTTGTAAGAATGTCAAAATGCTCAATATTTTGTGTTTTTTACTAGTTAATATGCTAAGTATTTTCTTCTAATGCAATCCTCAATAAATTGTTTGTAAAGGTTTTATTCATCTTTATTTGGCAATGTACTTGAAAACATCTAAATTGTGACATGTTATGTTAATTTTTTCAAGTCCCATGTTCTGTACACTCCACTAGTTAAGAATACACCTTGATTTTATAAGAACTTTGAAAAAAAATTTCTCCTCCCTTTAAAAAAAAACACTTCAATATTGTATTTGTGCAATTTTTTTAATTTAAGAATATTTAAGAGTAATACACATCTAATACTTATAATAATTTTTTTTAAAAAAATAAAAGAGTGATATGCAATACTCTTTAGTTTTCATGAAACTATTTTAAGTATATACAACCAAGTAGTTTTATAATTTTCTGAAAATTATTTTTATAGTTTTCTAAACCAAGTAGATTTTTTTAACTGAAAATACTGAAAATTGTATTCTGTTTTGGTTCTCTGAAAACTGTTTTTGAAAACAGATTTGAGATTTGCAAACCAAGCAAGGCCAATACTTTTTTCTTTTTCTCTTTTCTTCTTCTTCTTCTTCTTCTTCTTCTTTTTGGTTTGTGGACTTAGACTTCCGGCACTCGTCTTTCCGGGGGACTCGTATGATAATATATAAGGGGTTCATTGTATCAGTACACAATCACAATGTGAATGCAACTTTGTTGGCATTAGAAATTGAAGGTACCAAAAGTATAACGAACGTGGATAGTAATAACCCCACCCCATTAATGCATAGTAATTTCATGTCAGAAAGCTATTGACTATGCATCGGAATGCAAGGAATTTTATGGTGGATGCGCTGAATAACTAATTGAGTACTGCTATTGCGAGCGCGCGCGCTGTCACACCCCGCATATGGAGGTTGTGCCACGCAGGCGACACGCAGACGCTGAGGAGGATGCTGTATGGCAACTGCATGACGAGTGGAGTTTCTAGAGTCTTCCGAAGTTGTCTAGAGTTGTGTGGAAGATTCTAGATATATGTAGTATATTCTAGAGTTTTCCAGAATTGTGTGGAGTAGTATGGAGAATTTTAGAATATTGTAGATACTTGTAAATATGTATGGAAGTGTGAAGAAGGTGGGAGAAGATTCTAGAGAATCGATCTCCACCATTGGTTAGAATGCATCCTAGTCGTCCATTAGGGATGGGGATGCCTATAAATATGAGTAGGACTTCATTTTGTAGGCAACAAGTCCTAGAGTGAGTCTTGAGAGCCTTGTAGAGAGTTTGAGTGCTAGCCTTGTACAAAGCATTCTTTGAAGTAATAGAAGTGTTCTTTCCTTGCCAACTTAAGTGCCTTAGTGTGTGTGAGTGTGCAAGCCAAGTGAGGAGAGGGCGAGGGCCACTACAGCACTAGTAAGCGCACGAGGGGAGTGTGTTGGCTAAGGTGTGCATGGGAGTTAGGTTGACCAAGTCCTTGAGAGAGTAGAAGCAACGTCTTGGTGCCGCACGGGAGTAGCTAGAGTGGTGCTGAAACTCTAAGCCCGTGACAGTTGGTATCAGAGTAGGTTCATCAAGGGAGCTTTGTTGGAGTAGACATGGCTAACGGAGGAAACCACCAAGTCCACGTCTTGGAGCAGAGCTTGGAGGAGAAACTTGCCACACACTTGGTCTACACGGAGACCAAGTTTAACAGGCTCGAGAGAAAGATGGCGGAACTCTACGAGCTAATTGACGGCATTGCCAACAAGGCGCGAGAGAAGGAAAGGTACTTGTATGATCGGGTAGACGACTTGCACGTGGAGATTACGGAGTGCAAGAAGGAGTTCTCCCAGGCGCGCGAGGTCGTGGTGAAGCCAAGGAAGAAGAAAGCGCCGGATCCTAAGGAGTATGATGGGGCAAGGAATGCGCGCTAGATTGACAACTTCTTCTGGCACATGGAGCGGCACTTCGAATGCATAGAAATCGAGGACGATGAGGAGAAGGTGCAGACATGCACTATGTACCT